TAGGGTGTTCTCACCCCGGTCGCAGCCCGACCGAATTTCTGTGTTTCATTCAAACCTACTCACTCAATTTCTTCTCAAAATAAGGTTCACTTCCTAAATCTTCATCTGTTGGGTTTATTCCTGACAAGAACCAAGGTCTTTCTTGATTCTCACAAAGATGAATGAAGATTTTCCCTAGACTTTGGGTTCTCTGATTTCTTGTGACAAATTGACTAAAGCCATTTATTTTTTGCAGCACCTATGTTGAGTAGTCCACATGTTCAATCACATTTTCCCATATACTTCAATGGAAGCATCTTTAATTGCTACTTCTCCTGTTCATGAGTACGTCACAAAATTGGATAAAACTTCTTTACATTAACTTCAAGATACAGAAATAACTGTACAGAAGTGTACTGAAGATATTCTGATCTTCTGACATCAAAAGGAGCTCAAAAAGCAAAGAACAAGGATAAGTCTTGCTATACCCTCCTGCACAGGCAAGAGAAAAAAACTTAAAGAAGCACCAAATTGGCCTGTTTCTTGATTATAGATTAAGATTACCTTATACTGAAATTTATTTTTAATTTTTTTGCGTATGAAGTGCTCAATTTTCTTCAAGAGATACCAAAACTTTTAAAACATTTCATTTGTTTTGAAATGTCAGATCTGTATCTCCAGACATTGTCCAGATTCTTCTAGTTATTAGGTGGCCTCAAGTTTTATGGTCTGTATGTCATGGCCCCACTTACAAAAATTGGAAAATCGTTTCTCTCTGAGTGTTGGTGTCATCCATACGGTATATGCTTTACAGTCAACCCCCACACAATGGACTCAAGTCTTGCAACAGACTAACAGACTATTGTCTGTCAGCATATGAAAATTCTTTGATGCATATTCATTTGGGAAGCAAGGAGGAAATGTGAGGGACTCATAGTCCACTGGCACACTTTTACAGACTGAAGTATGTTATGCAGATTTTTTCTGTTATCCAAAAGGAATCACCAACTGCAGAGGCATTCCTTTCTGAAAAAATCTCTTGTGCAGAAGGTCTGTTGTGCAGGGATTGAATGTATAATAATATGTGCGTTCTCTTTGTCTGATGGACTCCTTTTCATGTCAAAATGACAGGTTCTGTGAATTTTTCTTGGGTAAGCTTGTTTTACATGCTTCAAAGTAGAGAAACCACTTTCAGTGTATTTCTGATTTGTTTGCCAATTGAAGTAGATAATTGAAATGAAAAAAATTTCTCCCATGGAATTCTATGGGAAAAGGTGAACTTGCATGCAGACATTCAATCTCAAAGACACAGTCTGACCAGAAATTATATCCACATCAGAAGTATGAACCCCCGCAAGGTCATTATGTTAGAAATACGTACACTAACTAAGTATATTTTTTGCCTGAATTCTTGAGTCTCGAAAAAGACCTGCTGTGTAATCTGATTGAATATCCGACTCACTCAAAATCGCCAACTTTGAAGCAACCTTCGCAGCATAAAACATTTTATCCGCGTCTGACTGCGAAAGTTCTTTGACTTTTCGCATGCAATTTTTCATTTCGAGCATGTATTTGCACAGGTTCCGCCGTAAAGTAGTCAAGGAACGTAGTCTCTTGGCTGTCAGTGCCTCGATATGCTCATGGCTCCAACCTTAAAAGAATTTCGGACGACATTCGGGAAATTCTCGGTTGAACAAATCATACCCATACTGTTTGACGTTATAATTTGGGAGTTTATTTTCATTAATTGAATTTAAATTCGAGTTTTTAACACGATTTTTCAATGTTTTGAATTTCTCACTTGCTGAAAAAAGGCTTCCTCTGAGAAAAAATGAGAGCTAATAAAAATGACTGCTGGTCTAGTTTTATACTGATTTTTTATACGGAGGTAAAGGTTTCCTGATTCGGTATGTGCTTTGATTTTTTTTAATGAAGCAACCGCTTCCTTTTCTCGCAATAAGCAGCCCTTCAAGCCAAAAATTCAACTATCCAAACATTTTAAGAAAAAATTAAAAAAAATATCTTCATTCAGATTTAACCACTGCTGAATTACTTCACCAAGAAAAATCCATTCTCACCAGCTACATCATGGACAAATCACGACAAAAGATGAGTGCTCACAGTAGTGTATATCAGTTTGAGTTTATTTACGAATGACTATAAGAATAACAGGATTATGTACTACAGTAATGGAAGATCTTTCCACGCTTTCATAATGAATTCGACTTTTTTCGAATTAAACTGCTTCAAGTGACCATTAAAACAATGGAGCCTGTACCAAATACTGTTCCTAGAAGCACAAACACCTTGTATGACGGATATTCCTCATAAAAGGTATCCTAAAATATATATTGAATACTCCTCTAAAAACAGCCTTGATTACTTTTAATTAACTGCATTCATGCCATTTTTCAAGGAGCACTAATGAATAGTTCCATCTTGCCTTCCAAAATTTAATTTAGAAGAAGAAACCTTTCACACTGCTTAGAATGAACAGAATACTGGAATGCATTTACAGTAGTTCGTTGCATGCCGTTATTGAGGTGCCAGGCAGACTGTTCAAGAGTTCCAAACTTATAATTAAAAAAAACATTTTCACTAAACCAACACTACCTGTATTTACTCAAAGTGCCACACAGCAGACAAGTGCCCTTGAGTACATCACACACCTAAATTTGTCAGCCTAAATTAAGATTTTTTCAATTATCCCCAAGTAAGATCTATAGAAACCCATCTTCAACTGAAACACTTTGAAAATAAACTCGATCAGAAATCAAATGGTGTTTAAAGAGTAGTCACATTGAATGTAAATTGTCCCACCTTCTAATCGTAGGTTGTCTGTAGTTAAGGAATCAAGTATGACACACCAAAGCTTTCAACATTTATCAACGTTATATACCCACCTGTGATGTGTAACATACTCTACTTTTTTGTTTCACCAAGGATTTTAAAGGTACTCAAGTATATGTGGTACATCTGCAAGGTTTTTCAAATGATCAATGCATACGAAGAGTCTGCAATTTGACTTAATCCATGGGAAAAACCTGTGCTCTCCAAGCCCTCAATGTTCTCCATGATGTGGTGCAAGGGTACAAGTGGAGCAGGAACTTGAAGATAGGATGCTTGCAATTCCTGATACTTTGTGTCCCCTCCTGGACCAGATTCCTCTTCTCCATCAAGAGTATCAGCACATTCACAACAGGTGAAGTTTTTTTTAGGATCATCAGAGTACCACATGGTTCGAACCTTCTCAAAAGTTTCTGTATCTAGTGTGGCTCCTCCAAAAAGCTGCTTGTGAATTTTTATTGGATCCAGAGCTGGTTTCCATCTGTTGAAAAAATATATTCAACCCCCAGTTAGATTATTCCATGATTGACATCTTCCATTCCCAAAATGGCCTTATACTGGAAGGTTGGAGAACCTTTGTACACTACCACCTGCCAAATTTTCCCCGCCCTATAATAGGCTGCCACTAGTAATTTTCTCAATTCCTTTCCTTCCTCTCAACAAAGATATTTGTCATCTGTAACATGGTCTTCTTTATTTCCCAAAATCAAGGTTAACTTCTTCAGAAGCGTAATCCAGTTTGTTTTTATTTCTTAATATACAGCAGAATTGCAGGGATTCCTTCTTCTGGACAACCACCAGTTTAGTTTTTTGATGAAATAAGTATGGGTCTCTTTTCATTTTCATGAGCTTTTCCTTGTGCTGTGCCACCCACCTTCCAAGCCTGTACCACCCCCCTCAACTGCCAACTCCCCCTTAAATAACTTTCAAAAGATTGGGGTACACAATCTACACAGACATTAGCAGTTTGATGAAATTCAACTGCACATAAAAATGCTTTACGGAAAAACTCCATGAGAATAGATTTTATTGATTTTCGTTTTTGTTGAAAGAACTTATCAAGTTTATTTTCTTGAATCCTTTGCAGCAAAAAAGTTTTGGTCTGGTGGATTTTAAAATGCACTATAATTGATTCAAATCTTCCTGAGTCAAACTGCAAGGGACCAATGGACAAATTTGCGTTAAGGACATTTCAAGTTGGGGATGTTTTGAGCAAGGGACATTTTGATTTAGGGATGTTTTGAATAAGGGACATTTTGAGTTAGGGTTTCCAGTTTGAAAAACAAGCATGTTCTTGGGGGGGGGGAAGGGGGAGAAAACGATTTACAGGAAATTTCATCTCGTGGTATTTCTGGTCTTGAATTGCTTCATGAATAAGTTGAGAGAATGCTGAACCTAACGAGGCATGAGCTTCTTTTGCCCATAATCTTTCAGTTCCTTTCAAAATTCATCACCTTAAAATGTATCGCTTTTCTGCTTCCCGTTCAATAGAATGAAAATTCGAGTCATTAAAATTTGAGTGGGAAAGCCTTCGAGTTAGGGCAGCAACTGATGCATTGTTTTAAAATAAATGCAGAGGGCACTAGAAAAAAAATTAACATGAAGGGAGGTACTCCACCTAGGGGTATGCTCGAGTTAGGAAGTTTACCCAAGAAGCAGAAAAATAATATGATTCTCTCGTCCTGAAATTGTTCATCTCCCGAAGTAGTGTTTCGTAAAATTGCCAAAAGTGTGCGATACTCACGATTGCTCCTTTTTATTCACCGGACAATCGTCGGGTAGTTCCTCGCCGAGCAAATCAGCTCTGACTTTGGCCACGCGAGCTGTTTCCACGCATTCTGCATCAGGAAGTCTTTCAATGTTCACCTACGATACGAGGCTTACAAATGAATCATTCGAAAATGATTATTCGTTTTTACAAAAAAAAAATTACCTGGTAAGAACCATCTTTGAACTTGACATCCAAGTTGACCCAGGTTGGACACTTGTGTCGTTCGCATTCCCCGACATCGTCTGTGATGGTCACTTCCCCAGTGTTGGGGATTTGAAGGCGAAGGTCTCGAACGCAGCCCGGAGGCGTTGTTACATTTGCACTTCAGAAAAATGTAGATAACATTTTATGCTTCCGAACTGGGCTGAATATTTGCGAACAATATTTCAAGAAAAGCGTCTATTTTTTTTACTCGAGTTATGATTCATAATTTGTCGATAGGAATACAGGTTTTTGCGCGAAGTCGTTGGCAAGATTAATGATTCACTGGCAATTTTAATCCAGAATATTGAGGAAATACTTGCTTTTAATCTAAATTTGACATGTTTTCAGGCGATGCTTGTTTGACGGACATCAAAATGCCAGAGGTCTGACCGCATTCCGTCCGGAAATGGAAAATTTTACTTCGATTAAAATTACTTCAGGAATAGGGTAGTTCTTGGTAAAAACCCTCCAAAAGCAATAAGGAATATAGAAATGTTATTGGTAACTTTTCATACGTAACGTATGCAACTTCGCATCCAAGTTTGGCATACTGTCATTTCATTTAGCCGCCGGACAGAAAATATGACAAAACATGTCTTTCCTGCAATTCTTTGTTTACCCCCACCAAAACTGTTGTCTTCCCTAACTGGAAAAAAAAATTCCACGTAGATTTTTTCTGGCTCAATTGGAATTTTTTTTCTGGGTGGTTAAAAATCACCACCAGTAAGGATTTTTTTATACAGCATAACTTCAGACGAAAATATCTTCAGGATTTTTAGAAAAAACCTCGAAATGTTTCCAACTCAGGCCTTGATTAAAAATTATTCTTTTACATTTTGCATTCATGGTTACGAAATTTATCACAAGGTAATGAATCTGCCACACAAGGGTTCGATCACCAACACTGTTAAACTTGCCCAAAATCTCTTATAAATGGTGCTGACTTATCCAGGCATGAAAACTCACCAGTAGTCTGGAGGAGGAACCTGCTCAGGTCTGAAGGAGCCTCCAGTGGTTGTACGTGTTGGAACTAGACCCTGTGGCAAAGAGAACCCCGCCCCTTCTGAAAAGCCACCAGCTAGCATTTTTGAAAGCATTTCATCCATAGTTGGTGGAACTGGTTCCGGAACCCTGCTTTTTCCTCCACCTCCTCTCAGACGCATGGGTTTCCCCACGAACCTCTCTGTTTCAGAATAAAAAGAGAAGAATTCTGCAACCTAGGTGGCAATTCTTTGTTGTGTAATAAGAATATTGAAAGAAAATCAACCATCAGTGATTCTAAGAACTTATCTTGGATTCAACAACAGTACATCATGTGGTACCTCACAATTATACCCTTATCCATTGCTGGACTATGGCTAAATTGCAAGGTTTTCTATATGAGATTTGATATCCATGTCTTGCCACTGTTTGAATTGCAGAGCAGAGGTGAAATTGACATTCAACCTCCCAGAAAATTTGACAATCAAATTGCGGGATGGTCAAAGTGCAAGGTACCAACCTGTGCAGTACTTGAATGGAACAAAGGTTGCTTGTGGATTGAATATACACTAAAGTCTTTGCTGACATGCAATGCATTCCAGCTTTTTGTTTAGAAGGGACCTTCAGAAACAGTGGACTAGTGCAAAAAATACATAATAATAACAAAAGAGTGAGGATAAGAGAAAATTAATATTCGCTGTACAGCGCATACAGTTTTTTTTTTATACTGCATCAAATAATGTTTAAGCCATCCAACCCATGGCTTCTGAACTACCATATCGCACAGAAGAATTTGCTCACCTCGTGCACGAGAATTCATCATACTGTCGAGCTCATTTTGCAAATACGCAATCCTTTGGGGTGATCCTGGATATTCGGGACCAGGTGGTAATATTCTTAATCTAGTCCTTTCAGCATACATGCACTCATAACGAGTTCTACTTGGCTGAGGTGTTGAGGACGTGAAAATAGCCTTGGGCAACGGCGCTCGTCTAGAAAAAATACCAAATCGTCATTAATTGTGCGGAATTTACCAGATAAAACTAAATTGCGCGCCAATTTGTATCAGCGCGCAGTAGTCTGGAATTTAATCTCCTGCCAGGGAAAGCCCATGAAAAACGTGCCGAAAACAAGTCACCAAAGTCAGCACAAGACGTATATTTTACACTTCTCGAATGAATTTCCGAACATACGTATTTTCGAATATTTTCCGAATTTCCAAATATACGTATTTTCGAATATTTTCCGGATTTTTAAATATACGTATTTTCGAATATTTTCCGAATTTCCAAATATACGTATTTTCGAATATCTTCCAAATTTTCAAATATACGTATTTTCGAATATTTCCAAATATACGTATTTTCGAATATTTTCCGAATTTTTGTACGCATATCTGATCATTAATCGAAGGTGCATATTCTCGTAAATATAGAATAATCACATGTTCGCCGATTGCCCATAAATAATTTGGAAAAAATAAGATCAATCTACCAAGCTCAAAAACAATGGAAACTAACCTGGGAGCTTTGGAACATTGTTCAACTGCTTGGATCTCAGTAATGTAATCTGCTGATTGAGAAAAGAATTCAATGTCAAAATCAGGATGCTATGCTCAATGGTCTCTTAAAAAAAAGAAAAAGAAGTACCATCTTCTGGCCGCCAATATCCACCTGACCTCTCTTGGAATCCCGGAGCAGGTCGAATTTCTAAATCCATTCCATTTTGATCCACGTTTTGCAAAGCGAAAAATGTCCGCCTTTCCAATCTTGGCATCAGCTGAGGCTGGACAAACACTCTTTCGCGATGCATATTTTCGTCATTGATCACCTGCATAAATTAAAAGTTGGAAATGCGTAACAAGCGTTTTGCGATAGAGGATATTTTCGGCACTTGATCATCGCAGCTGCCCTTGAAAAAAAATACAATATTCTCCCAAACAATCAAGTAGCTGACAGGAAGTATACATCTGAATATTTTTAAAATGTTGCTATAGCGTCTGTGAAAGACATGTCTGCATAGCCTTCAGTTAGCATATATTACTACAGCCGAACTAATTAAGACATCTTTACAGTATAACCAGCTGCACAATTTTTTCACGTGAGAAAACATTTCCATATTTAAAATTATTCAGTATTCTCAGCTTTCAAATAAAATATATTGGCTGTTCCATTCACATCTTATGAGTTAATAAATACAGTGAGCCAAAGATGTGGACATAACTGGTGCATCAAGAGTGTCCCTAAGTTGTAATGTCCCTCAGCAGTTGTCTCATTTTCCCTTAGACTTACATTATATAATTTTTAATTTGAATTACTCACCATAATTCCATGAAAATAAAAATCGTCTCCCAATTTAGACTGATTCCAATCAATATATTTCAAACACAATATGGACATTTGGGGAATTGAATTCTGATACAGTCAACCCCCGTTAGACCGCCCCCCGATAAACCGCCACCCTCGGTTGCCGCCAAAATTTTGTCCCTAACAAATCTGCCTAAGCTTGAAGGGATGGCAAACCCCCGTTAAACCGCCAACCGCC